TAGGGTGGGTAGGAAGTGAAAATGTAATAACCGGCTTCAAAGCCATTTTACGCATTTCAGTGGCTAAGCAAGTAACTGGTTTTCCCGTAATGATTTGAATATGAACTTATGCTTGGAAATTTGAGTCATTTTGTAGGTTATGTTGTATGGGGTGAGGGTGGAGGGGGTCGGGCGTGCATTGGAATAAAAATAGAAAACAAAAATCGATAGACAGTATCAGGCTCTTTATCAGGTGTACCAGTTCATCAATGAGGCCTTATTAGGTAGGGGTTTTCAGGATACTGGATATTTGGGTAAAAAAATTGACTGGAAACGCGAAATTTTGGAGAAATAATTAATGGGGGAGTGCATGTTTAGATCAGATAAAACGGGACACTTCTGTCTTTCGCTGCCTGAAATGCCATCAAATTTTGCGAAAGGCGGCAACATACTGACAAAGAGTGCGCAGACAGTAATGGTAAGCGGCGTTTTATTGAAATTCCTTATATTTTCTTAACCATTTCACTTTTGCATCAGAAAAGGAAATGCTCAAAAAATTACTGACGGGCAGTTAAGGACGTGCCTCCCTTTCTGTGGCGCACGGTCTGTGCATCATATAAGGCAAGATTTCAACGCCAGGCGCGCGCTTGGTTTGGAATAATCAACTACGCTACCAAGCGCGCCGAAGCAAATATTGCAGTAAAATTACGAACCTGTACGTGAACCAGAAACTCCAGAAAAGCAGCATATCGCTAAGCACTAACTGTTAAGGGCTTTCAGCTGAAAGACTAGCTGTCATCGTACCCGTAAAAGAAATCATATCCCACTGCAGATGGCATATGCGCGCGCCAAATAACTGCGAGAGACGTCAATGTTTGACTTCCTTGGGAGGTAACAGGAAAAAATGTAACGGGGAACCGACAAAGTTTTCGAAAGGATGAAACAACTTATTTAGTTTTGAAAACGTGTGATTACCGCTACATTTTATGTTATGAAATGGAAGTGGCAAGCCTATTTTACACGTGAATAGTTTTTGGCAGTGAGGAAAAACTATGTAGACTGTATTTTGGCTAAGCCAGAGGAGAGATGTCCAGGGACGCTAAAAGCGCTGTTGTGACGATTGTGTTGTTAAAAACATACCAAAAGTTGTTTTTTGTAGCCATTCACCATGTAGTTTAAGATGTTTATTATATGTGTTTAGTTTTCTGCATGTAAAGGCGAACTCTAGGAAAATCTGTGCAGAAATATCTTTTCCTTTTTTTTTTGAAAAATGTTAACGTCGGCAGTTTTCTTCGAGATTCAAGGCTAATTATCTCGCAAAAATTACTGGCTACCCCCAGTTTTCTTTGTGGATTCCAATAACCCTAGCTAAGATCTGCTTTTTCCACGTTTTCCTAATCTGGCGGAAACACGTTTACATTTAGTAGACACCGTTCTTTATGAGCCTGAGACACCCCTCAGTTGGTCCAGTTCTGTGATGGAGCACAGTTGCATGTCTGCAAAAGACTAGTCTTCTACTTTATGTAGGGCGTTTTACGCGATCTTGGGATGTTGCAAACATCTAGATCAAAATACTCGCATGTCAAGCGAAGCATTTTGACGCTTGTTTAAAACCATTATAAATGCATTAGATGCGTTTAAGGCACACAAATTGAATGAGCCATAAGCAATTGGATAAGTTAACTGACACTTGTAAAGGATATCTGCAGCTTGATTCTCAGCGGGTTGTTGTGTCTTTTTCGAGGACCTCCTCCTGTCTGTCTCCGAGCTTCGCAGCCATTCTGGAGAAGAAGGATTGAACGTGGCGAGAAGTCAGGAACTCATCTAAGGTGAACAGCCTAACTCTGTCCTCATCTTTTGCGTACCTCATCTTTTGTGATAGAGTAACTGCTTCGACTTTATGGCCGTCTCCTGATCTAAGAAGACTTTTCTTGAAAGTAGTTTTTTTTGTTTTTCATTGAAACGAGTGGCCTTTTTCGTCACTTTCAGGGCTCAGCCTTTAGGTTTAATTTCTTTAGCAGGGACTGGAAGTGCAGAACATGCTAGGACCGGGTGAAAACCACGATTGTCGCTATATCATATATTGGCCTGGTCAAATAGGTTTTCTCTATCAGGAACAAGTCAACATGAATCGTATTGTAAATGGTTCTTCAGTAATTATCTTCGCATTTCCTTGTCCGATGCAAAAGTGGAACGGCTTAGAAAATATAAGGAGTTTCAATAAAACGCTGCTTTCCATTACTTCTTGCGCGCTGCTTGTCAGTCTGTTGCTTTCTCAGCATTTGATGGCATTTCGGGCAGCGAAAGACGCAAGTATAATGCTGAACAAAAAAAGCAAGAGACTTTTTTATCGGAATTCTATCCCCATTTTATTTGTTGTCCTATAAAGTTTTGGCCTAAATATCTTGTATCCTTTTAATTGCAGCTTAACTATTTCCTACTCAATTAATGTCCCGTTTTATCTGATCTAAACATGCACTCCCCCATTAATTTTTTCCCTAAATTTCGAGTTTCCTGTCAATTTTTTTTTTGTAACCAAATATCCAGTATCCTGAAAACCCCTACCTAATAAGGCCTCATTGATGAACTGGTACACCTGATAAAGAGCCTGATACTGTCTATCGATTTTTGTTTTCTATTTTTATTCCAATGCACGCCCGACCCCCTCCACCCTCACCCCATACAACATAACCTACAAAATGACTCAAATTTCCAAGCATAAGTTCATATTCAAATCATTACGGGAAAACCAGTTACTTGCTTAGCCACTGAAATGCGTAAAATGGCTTTGAAGCCGGTTATTACATTTTCACTTCCTACCCACCCTAATCTCGAATAAAGTATTTACCCGGATTTATACCGTTTTCTTTGTATGACAAATTGTTAAAAATGTGCCCTATGTGCCCTCTCAGAGGGGCAAAACCAAAATGGTCGCTCCAGCGCTAAAATACCGATCGAATTGAACTGAAAGTTATATTTTTGTGAATCGCTTATGTAGACCATTCATGTGAGAAAGTTTGAGGAATTTGATTTTTTTTCTCGTCCAAATGACCATAGTTGATAATTACAGAGGGCGGCTCTTAAGCGCTTTTTCTAAAAGCTTAAAAGCGGCTCGATAGATTATTCTAAAACGTAACCATGCATGCCTGATAATGTTAACAATTTTATTCCATAGTTTCATTAGCAGTGATATATTGGAACACTTTGAAAGTTGTCGATGAAGTAGGCGCTCGAACCCATGAAAAAGTTGCGTTACAAAATCCCGATATGAAAAAAAGTTATGCTAAAATATCCAGATCTATGTTTGTAACATTTTCCCGCGATCAATACATATCGCTACAATATCTGAATGCAAATTTGGGGGATGTTTTTTGAAATACGGATCAAGGGAACGTTTGGCCCTTCTTTCCATACTAGCAAAAGGACTGTTTACAAAGAATTCCAAGGCTCTACCTCGAGTGAAAAAGAACAGGAACGTACTGGGGAAAATAGTAATTTTTTTCAGAAGAAAAAGGGCTGAAAATTGCGCACAAGTAATGTCGTCAAAAAGTCAATCACGGATAAATCGAATTATTATTTAAAATATGCATCAACGAAATGTATAGATCACGAAGTAATGTTACACACAGCGATCTGAATATTTTAGCATAATTTTTTTAGATCGGAATTTTGCAACGCAGCGTTTTCGTGGGTTCGAGCGCCTACTTCATCGGCAAATTTCAAAGTGTTCCAGTGTATCAATGCTAATGAAACTTTGGAATAAAATTGTTAACATTATCAGGCATACATAGTTAACGTTTTAAAATAATCTATCGAGCCGTTTTTAAGATTTTAGAAAAAGCGCTTAAAATCGGAAATTGTTCTAAATTCATTATGGAATTGACGTTGAGAAAAAGTCTCGTTCTCGAGATCAAGAAAATACAAACCAACAAAACTTTCATGGCTTCAAAACAAAACTTCAAGACAAATTTTGGTGTCTTTTGGAGCAATTTCATTAAAACAGTGTCCTTCCTTCAGTCCCTTTAATTTCATTAAACAAAAAACATGGTTTGAGATGTTTTCGCGATTTACTCGAAATCAAACATATAGAATTTTTTTATTCTTGCATATTCCCCTTGCCATACATCGTAATTTCAGAAATTGGCATCAGATTTTCTATACCAGATCTGGTTCGTACAAAATTCATGCTTTACCGATTTTCACATTTTTGGTTTATCGTTTCCATGGAAATATCGATTACCTTAAGAAACACATTCAAACAAACTTCAATCTTTTTTCCAAAAACTGGTGTAATTTCGACATCGATCAGAGTAAGGGAAGGTTGGTAAAACGCCAATTGCAAATGCTCGGTATGGTCCAGAAAAAAAGTTTGTCTTCAGTGTAGACAGTCCATATTTTAGAAGAGTGGGTTGGATAATTACCAAAAAGATGCGTTAACTTTGCTATTCCCGACCAGTGTAACGACATTTAAATTAATGTGATCATTTCATTTAATTTCATAGCTCTACCACTCGCTCCCCTCATGACACATATAACTGTTGTAAAAGCAACAGTTGTTGTCATCAGCTGGCAACGGTCGCCAGACGATAATGGAAATATTACATATGCTGTGTACTGCTTCAGATGTAATTCTGGGGAATACAAGTGTAAGGAGTCGTGTGACGGACAAGTGAGATATTTACCAGGAAAGGAGAACATAACTGGTGTCTCGGTAACAGTGCATGGTTTATCATCGTCCAGCTTCTTTTTGTTCAGAGTTTATTCTGTGAGTGAGTTGAATCAGCAAGAGAAAGACAAGGATAAATGGAACTATGCTGAAGTTTTTGTGGAAACAAAAGGTAAAGTGAAGTGTGAATGACAGAATTACAAAGCTTTTACTCAGCTCATGAGCCACAAAAACGGCCCGTGAGCTAAACAAATGTCAAGCTCCAGCTTACATTATTTGTTAAAATATAGCGTGTTTAGTACAAACCACTCTACCGTTTTTTCCGTCCTTAAGAAAACAGTTGAAGAAAATGAAAGCACAAAATGTCGCCAAAAATCTCGGTTTTCCTTCATTCAGTCATATTCAATCTTCGGTACAAGTTTCACGTCTTCGTATTAAGACGTTACTTAGTTTGAAAAAAAAAAAAAAAGAAAAAACACTTTTTAGATTGAAGATTATGGTTTTATTGTTGTACTACCGGTCACGTTCCTCCACCGATGGAACTGGATTATTGCAATTTACGGACACAACAAACGAATCAAATCTAGAGGTCCGCCTTGCTGCTTTAATAATTAACTTCCCAACCAACATTGCGCGCTTAAGTATATTCTGTATGATTCACCGAAATGTACCCTACAAACACTACACCCTTCTTTATTCAGTGTAAACGCTATAATCTTAGGGAAATGTCACCACAGTGGAAAGTCAACTAAAAACCTAGTACGACTTAAATTTACAAAACTGCTAGGCATATTAATTAATAGTTCTCCCCTTTTGAATCGTAACAGTCAATAATGACATTAAGTCATAACAAAGTTTCTAACAAGGGCACTCAAGTCAAAACAGAGTCGTTTGAAAACAATGACGCTCAGGTCATAAAAAACTCTTTAAATCTTTCCGGCAGTTTCCTGACCCTTGTTGGTCTCGTCATAACCGGGTGCTAAGTTTTTCTCGTTCTGCTTCCGGTTTTACAGAATCAGTAACATCAAGCAATGGAGTTGTTTCTTTAGAATCCTGTAATGTCTCCTCGTGCATTTTTACATGGGTTGCGTTTCGCATAAGTTGAACGCCTTCTGGTGATTCAACGACAACACTGTTTCCAGTTTTGGTTACAACATAATTATAAGGCTCAGGAGCAACTGGTGTCGACAATTTGTTTTTGGGCTCGGGTTTTACTAACATTTTGTCACCTGGAGTTAGGTCTGACTCCTGGACACTCCTCTTCTTGTCTGCTGATTGTTTAGCTTTGGCCTTGCATATTACATCTCTGTGCTTTCCTCCCTCAGTTCAGGTAGTTTAGTACGCATCTTTCTGCCAAACAAGAGTTGCACACCTGTGGTGGCATGGGGGGTTAACTTATATGCTACCAAATAATTGCAAACTTCTTTCTTCCATTCTCTTCCCTCAACTTGAGCTATTTTCATCCTCTTAAAGTGCACCTAACCCCAAATGTTTTTTTT